AGCAACCCCGCCGCCAGGCAAGCAGTTTCGCAGCTCCTGGGGCCGGCATCCCGCAGGCACAGCCACGCTTCCCGACACCCCCAGCCCCACGGCAAACCAGCTGCTGCTGCCCCTCCGGCAGGGATTTTGGGTTTGTACTCTGTGCTTGTCATCTTTAGTCCTCTGGGCCAGGGGTCTCTAATTATGGGACATAGTGGGGTCAGCAATTTCTAACCCGAAGTTATTTGTGTACAGTGATTCCCAAGACTCTTCCCAATCGGGTATTTTAGGCCAGTGCAGAAAGGCACAAAACACTTTTTGGTCAAGTTACCAGCCTTGATCGACTCATCGCATCTCTGAAACGGTGGTGCCATACATTGCTTTGTAGGCGCTGCGCTCACATCAATCCTAACAGCTCGTGCAGCAGCGGCACAATCACGGTAGCACTGAAGCCAACTGAGGAGTACGTTATAAATTTGTATGGCACTTCGACTTCCAGTCGTCTTCGGGCTTCCAGGTCGCCAATAGGAAACTTGTACCGATAACCCAGCACGCCGAGTACCACACTCTTCATGAGCTGGCGCGTCAATAGAACAACAAAGATCCCTACAAAGAACCTAGCTAGCACTATCACCACTATTTTACTGGTAATCAGAGGAAATCCAAGCTGAAAATTTTCACTGGCGTAGGCTGGCGCGGCATACTGGTTATTTAACCAAAATCCCACAGTTGCTCCAGCTCCTGCTCCTAAGATAGTAGTGGTGTCTCCCCTGGTAGGGCTGTAATAGTCCAGTTTGGGGTAGTTGTAACATAAGACAAGAGGCACAACTATGGAAAGCAGTGGGCAGAAGGGACTAGTTAACAGCAAGTGATCTATCATGTCCCACGCAGGATACAAGAGCATGAGCAGCGCAGCTGAAATCAGCGCTCCGCCGATCACGTCCTGCAAAGAGACCATGTTTAAAAGCTTTGTGAGACCTGGAAGGCAAAACAGATATTCTCGGGTGAAGATAAAAGACCAGTATCTGCATTCGTGAGCGTGCAGCAGCAGAGGAATGCCCTGAATTCACAGCGATGGCACCGCCCAGGCAGTGACAACCCAAAGCTTTGCTAAACAAAACGTGACAATCTATGAACCCATCCTTAGCCTTGTCCGTGTGAATATATCTACTGACTCGTATTTTTCCCCTGAACAAGTGAGATTCTCCCCCTCACCTGCTTTCATGTTTTAGGGGCACCCTCCGCCTACGACCTCAGTGGAAAAGGCACATGCACGTGCACGTATCACAGTAAGCTGCCTTCAGACAAACCCTTCCCCTTCCATAATCCTACAAGTAATTTCATCATATCAGTAGGATTATCACTTGCTTGCTTTGCATAAATGGGAAGACGCTGTCTTTTGTCAGAGAGAAGCACCCCGTCCAGGAACACAGGCTCCGGGGGAGAAAAGTGCAGAGCTGCGGGGCATGGTGCCATGATTTCTGCCGATCGCGGCAAGAGGTAGGCACCGCCGGGCAAGAATACGTCAAGGAGAAATTTGTTGCCCAAGCCTCTGAAATCCAGCTTGTAGTTAAGCGCCCAAGGCAAGCGCATAGTTAAAACCTAATTTATTAACAGAGGCAAAGCAGGTGTTTTCAGAACTTGATTGCTGTCGACCGCAAGGCTGGGGAAGGATACAAGAGCTAACCCCTAACAAAAGCTGTCTGTATGAGAGCAGCCAGATAAAAAGCAATATAACAAGTTTCCCCGTGCTGCTCTCCCGGCGTCGCTCAGGAGGCAGCAGAGTTTGTATTCTGACCATGAAATGCCCTGCAAAAGCTAGAGTTAATCACAGACAGAAATGTCCTCTTCTCAAGATTGTATCTTTTTCACCGAGTCATGACAGTTGACTACCACCATGCTTGGTCACAGTCTAAAATGAATTATTTATGAGAACTTCATTTATAGTTAGGCAGGAATGAAGGGACTTTTTCACAACAGAAATATTTCATGATTTTCTGGTAAATGCATTACTCCAGTATGGCTGAACTTTTAGCTGTTTACAACTTCCAGGCAACAGATTCACAGCACATTTGGTTTTAAGCAACTCCCAGAGCTATTTTGTGTATTCCTAATACAAATTTCCACTTACATTTATTCCCTCATCCATGACACGAGGATAGCCGTGGACATACACAAAGTTGTTCACGGATGCCTAACATGTAAAATACCATTAGGTGTCAATATTTCGCAACACCAAAATTTTTAGATGATAACTTTACGCAGAAAGGCATGTTTTGGCCTAACAGTAAGTAACTGCATCGACACGAAAGAGCTGGGGGTTGCTCCCAGCACCGATGCTCAGAAATCCCATCACCTCTGTGCACCTCCACTTCCCACCTCACTATTTGCCCACTTCATATTAGAAGAAAAAAGTCTTGACATCTCAATACCTCCTCCACGTGTGATCAACGATTGAAATTCAAAAGCTTTTCACGTGCTTTTCTGTTCCAATTGAAGACATTTAACCGAACATTAACATTCCCCTAACAAATGCTTTGCTCAGAGTTACCCAGCTGACTCCAGCAGTTCCCAGCTGGGGCGCAGACACCCTCTATTTGCAAACCTGATTGAAGTTTTCTGAATTTTATTATCCTCCCGCTCAGCCCCAACGCAGTAACACGGCCCCTGTAGTTTTCAGGCAGGACCCAGATAACCAGCTCTGCTCCCAGCCAGCAGCTTATACCAGCGGTCTCCAAAGTGGGTGCACAAGGCAACCCATCGGGCTGTGGGAAGAACATACTTTTTGCACCACTAATAAGTAAAATAAAAAATAGACATATATTTTAAAAGTAGTGTTTATTTCATCCTTATCTCATCCTTTTTTTAATTTCTATTTTTTTGTATGCTTATAGTATATTTATCAGTGTAGTAATACATGTATATAATTCATAAATAAATATACATATATTGGGCGTGCATGCTAAAAATTTTTTTTACTGATAGGGGTGCATGATCAAAAAAGTTTGGAGACTAGTGGTTTATACTGTTTTTCGCCCCATCCACCAATCTATGGGCTTCTTTGGAGACTCCTTACTAGAAGCTGCTGGAGAGCGCGGGCCATACCCAGCCCAGCCCGTCAGCAGTGATTCCTTTGGTTCTGGTACGCACGGGCAGAGGTTTGATTTTCTGAGCACCCAGAAGAGGCGGGCGAGTTCAAGACCAACACTTTACCAAGACATTTAGCGGTGCAAAATTAATGATTTCCCCCCTCGCCTGTTAAACTAAGGAGAGGATGGGAAGAGGAAGGATTTCTGTGAGAAAAACTGCTTTTCTGGGACTCTCCCTACTGTGCACCCAGGAGCGGGACCTTCGCTCTTCCCGGCGGTGGAGCTGCTGTTAGCACTCCCAGGAAGCACATTCTTGCCCGTCTTGCCTGTGTAAACAGATTAGCCTCTTGCCAAACCCACAATTATAAAGGAATTTTTAAATGAGGGCAGGCACGGATTTTGCTCAAGGTGCAGCACTACCAGCAAAGCTTAAAACCTCCCGCTTCCCTGCTGGGATGCTCCAGCTCCCTCAGCACCAGGGACTGCTGCGGCAGTGCTCCACAGGCTCCCAAAAAGCCCCCCGGCTGCCATGCAGCTGGGCCCCACTCCCGCACAGCACCCCGCTCCCGCACAAATATCTTATTTGCTTTCCACTCCTGTAGGTTACTCTGTTTCACCCCACGAGGACTGTAGTGCCACAGTGTGTAAAGTGATGCCATCACACTATTTGTTTACCAGCTTTAAAATATTTAAGATAATTTCAGGATTAATGGTGGTGGTAAAAGACCTGAGATACAGCCCGGCAAAGGAGCAGGGTGGGGGCTACAGCGTACCCTCTGCGGGGGGTTAATCAGCGATACATGCATCAACACCCGATTGCTATATCTCAGGGAAAAAAACCAATTTACCTTGTTTACAGAAACAACTTTCAGGTTTCTTTTTGGTCATAAAAAAGACCAGTCAGACTTCTGACTTCTCTCTGTATCCTACCCCCGGCACTGGCCGGCACAGGGCATTATTGCTTTTAACTCAGGGCAGCACGGCGGGAAGCTGCAGTACCAGTAAGGCTGTCACACCATCGCTGCGGCTCCGGAGTGACCGTCTGCTTCCCCAAGCCCCCGCCGCTGGCTGGAGACAGGGGAGTCTGCCTGACACCGGGAGGAGACCCGGCTCTGCCTCCACAGCGAATGCCAAACCCATTAGCTGGGTGCATGAAGAAATTCCTACGGCTGGCCCTGAAGGGTTCAAAGAAAGCTCAAAGCCTCCCCTCCTCCCCCCCGGTTTGGGGGCTGCCCTCGGCTGATGAAGTTCTTCCCAATACGATTTGCAGTGACCTGGCTCGCATCTTTTTGGAATGCTGTGCACTCACATGAACACCATCGCTCATCGTTTCAAATAGGAGATGACTCGGATGTGCTGCAGCAAGGCTGAGACAGAAAAACTTGTTCATCTCACTGAGACAGGGATCAAAAATTGTGCCAAAGCTTTAAGATGGGGAGTAAAGGGATATTTTCTAAATACAATTATCTGGGGAAAAATGCAAACAACAACAGTCCTATTGTCTCCAATCGCGTTTTGTTCCTTAAAAATAACCTCTGTAAAATTACAGATTCTCTGCTTCAAAACGTGTCCAAATTTTCACTTTGCCCTTTCCAGGTAACTGCAGATTCCCACTTCCCCAGCTCCTCAGACTCCATCATTTATGACCTAAAAGGCAGGACCCTGCCTTTCCCCTGCTTCTCCACGCACATGGGACATTCTCGTGTTGAGGTGGTGAAGGCGGATTGCTGTAATTAAATTATCTCTCAGCAGTGCAAGTGTATTGCATCCACCCCATTCTCTAGCTGGGTGATGCTCTCCTGGTAACAGCCCAGGCAACGGGTGTTTGTTCCCTTTTCCCCAAGCTTAGGATTCATTCTGATATGGCTATAATGATGCAGATAGCTCTCATACCAGTTTACTGCCTCTCCAGAAGGTCTTTAATGGTGACATCTCTTCTACTGACATGACTGTGCTTTTTGAGGCTGCTCCTGGCCCAAAAGCAACACCAGCAATGCTGAAATGCAGACTGATTTGTAGAGCTGAGGCTACAGAAGATGAGCTCCCGTGCCAGAGCTCCAGCTACAGCTGTAGCAAAGCACTGTGCAACCACCTTGCTACTCCTTTTCTGGTTCCTCAAACAGGAAAAATACAGTTACACTAAGTTGGTGGGTATATTTTACCCATTCATTTGCTTTACTAAAATATTATGATTGCTTAATACACAATTATGTCCTGTCGGTATTCATTTTCTACTCAGACCTCAGTTAAGAACTCATTAGATAGAGGCTGTTTCGGCTGGTGGCTTGGCTGAGCGGCCGCTGCGCCTCGGCCCCGCGCTATCTCGGGCAGCTCAGGGTGAAGCCGTCCCTCAAAGTGTGGTAAACGTCTCGGAACCGCACTTCTTCCCCGAAAGCACCTGTCACTGCAGGTGGGACGCCAGAACCTGTCACCGCAGGTGGGACAGATGGCACCGCAGAGGGAAGGGGGTTGCGTTTGGGCAGCTGTGACCATCAGCCATTTCCCCAGCTCCGTCCCCACCATGGCACGCACGGGATGAAGACCCGGCAAAGTACGTTTGCCCTTTTGAAAGGCAGCATTGCTCACAGTTCAACTAAGGAGCTTTTTTTATTTTAAAGCCCTTTTTTATCATGTCAAAGGCACAAAGGACTTTTTCTTCTTTACCCTAAAATTCATCTAAATTTAGAGGAGTCTTTCATTATGATGGACCAGCAAGGGAAGTATGCAAAGAATTTTTACTGATTGACTTAAGGTCACTAGTCAAGAAAGGGCATCTCCAGCTTCGATTTAAGATGTTGTTTTGATCCACTAGTCCTGGAAGGGAAGGTCAAGCTATATTTTATAGATAACCTTAATCTCATAAGGGCTCCCTTTCTTACAGTCATCAAGCCTCCTTATTACAAACATAATTATTACTCGGTAAAAAAATGCAATTATTTATGCATATGCAACCAGCAAACAATGCCTATCAAACTCCTGCAGGGAAGTAGCAGGCAGTTTTTATCCATAGTTAGGCAGCTGGACCACCCCCCTGACCATTACATATAACAGATCAGTAACAATTCCTCTTGTCAGGAAGGAACCAGCTACTGCCAAATCAAAGTTACACTGAAATCTGTTCTTAAAGCAGGGTTGACATCTCTAAACAACTGTGCCCAACAAGTCTGGCACATGAAGTCAGAGACATTTTATGATTATTTTTGAAGAAAGTATTTGTGCATCTCAATCCTTTAAGAATGAATTTCCTACCAGCTGAAAACGAGAAGCTTGTCATAATATTTTCTTAAGTGCCATGTCCCTGTACGGTAACACGAGCCGTGCTGTCCCCCAGCCCCCGACGGCAGCTCACTTGTCACGTTTTACCCTCCCCTCCGCTCTCCGGTCGCCGGCGTGACTCACCCACCTGCTATTCCTTCCCTGACGCTCCCAGGCTAAACCAGCCCAGAATATTTCTCACTGACAACAGCGATACTGTTGCACAAAAGGCTTAGCTGAGGAGCAGCGTCAGTTGCCCAAGTGCATTCCTCGCAATTAAAATTTCAAAATAGAGAACTACAATTCGGATGCCACACCGACCTCACCCGGCTCCTCAGCCCACGCGCACTGCTGCTTCCCTCACGGTATAAATAATTCCCCTGCGGATTCAAATAGCAATAGCCTGAGGGTTTCCTCACAGCTGCCTTTGAACATACAGCCTCAAATTCAGTGGCATGACTGCTGTACTCCTGCAGCGGCAGGGCCAAGGCAGGCCGTGCATCGCTTGAAGAGTGGGAGCTGGGGATCGCTGGGTACGCGGAGCGGGAGGCAGGGCCGGCGCGGGGCGGCGCGGGGCACCCTTACCAGGACGGTGTGCATCCCCGTGTAGAGCCTGCTGAGACACACCAGCGTCGAAAACACAAACGCTGCTACCAGGCCTAGTTCGAACGGATACTGTGAACAGGGAAAAAAATAAATACACATTACACCCACTTTAACATCAGTATATATCCAAAATAAAACATCCAAGCAGCCGGACCGACGTAAGGATCTCGTGTTGGGAAGCGGCTCCTGAGCTGTACTTTCCCAAAGAGATTAACGTGACCCGAGACGAGACCTCACATCGGCCAACGTGCAATCCTGCTGGAAGGTCGTTTCGTTATCCGTGGTGCCCGCTTTTGCAAAGGTCTAGTCCTAGCGTGGGGAAACCTGGGAAACAGATGGCATTTGCAGAGTTTTTCCCCACAATATCCACCTGCAAAATCCATGTTAGTGCTAAAGACCTTAAGGAAAAAAGGTACAGCACGTTGTACGAGCGATGCCCGAGGTTGAACTGCGGCCTCAGATCACCCGAGGGGAACGCGATAGCCGCAGAGCCTGGCCAAAGCGTGATCAATAGTCCTTGAGCAGCGGGCTGGGGGGGGGGAAATCAATGTCTGGGCTGAAAACCGCAGTCCAGCTATTAGAGTAGTCAGGGCTGCTCTTCCCTGTGACACTTAAGGCTTAATCATCTTCTTATGAAGCTGGTTTTGCTTTATTCCCTCTCTGAGTTGCCTATGAACATGCAAAGAAGTGTTGAAATAAATCAACATTTAAAAAGCAAAAAAACCCCACACATTTGGTAAAGAATAAGCTTAACATATTAGCCCTTAATCTACGCATTCAAATCCTGAAACCGAGTGGGCTGGTGGGCTCCTTTCAGTCCGTAAAGGACGTTTTTCTGAAAAAAATAAACCAACCCAAAATATAAATAAATGAAATTAATTCACTCGATTTGACACAAAGTCTCCATCTACTGCCGCGGGGCTGATGACTGACCAGGGTGGCCATAGGTCAGCGCAAAAATGCTTCTGTGGAAATTTTAAGCATAACAACTTGCTTCTGGCCCTTTCCCCTGGCGTACTCTAGCCCTGGGAATAGAGAGCTCAGACCCGGCTGCAGATGTCACTCCCAGTTCATAAAACACTATTTTTTTCTCACTTCGTTAAGCCTTTGGAGAATTTACGCCCACTTTATTCCCCCCTCAGCAGGCAGCCTGGGAGCTAGTCCAGATTGGTAATTGATGACTAGGGCAGCTTTAGAAGATAGCAGCATAATGTACTGGTAGATTTTTCCTTCTTAACAGAGGCAATTAATTAATTTAATTATTTTACAGTAGCTTTATTGTTTCATGGCAGTTTCCAAGAAGTACGAGACAGCCCGTGAAGAGCTGCGTGTCCCACTGGTAGCTTATCAATCGAGGAGGCGGCGAAAGTGCTGCTGACAGGTCTTTTTGGCAGATCTGACACGTGGGATGGATCTGGCCTTCCAGGGCTGAAAAATATCCTGTCTTATGGCTCCTGCTCCCCGGCCCCATCCCACTGCCAAGCTGCTCCGACCAGTTGCCGTACAACTACCAGGGAGCAGGAGGCTGGCAGCGCAGCGCTGGGCACCACTGACCTGCTCGCTCATCCCTGCGCCGCGGGCAGGAGCACAGCCCGCTGCTTCGCGGCTGGGACCGGATGAGTCTGGAAGTTAAATTAATTCAGAGATCCCCCTGTAATTCAGAGATCTCCGTTTCTATGAGTTACAGCTCCAGGACACAGCACCTTTCATCAAAGGGGTGGCCACCTTTTGTCCCTGCATACACACTGGCACCGCGGGGAGGACACCCAGGGACACCGCGACAGCGAGACCCCCGGCCGTACTGCGAGCCCTCTCGGTTACACGGGTTTATCTTTGAAATACACTTGAGAGGGCTGAGAAACACGCTTAAATACGATGCAGCCAGGAAGTTATTATTGCTAGAGTACAGGAAACACACGTTTGTATTCATAAAATGAAACAAAAATAATCATCATGGAGAAATGAGTTTCTGGGAAATAAACCTTTTAGAAAGATAAAAGGCTGAAGGTTTGGGGAAAATAATTATGAGATCTCCCCCAGCAGCCTACAGCTCCAGGGCAGGGGAGGCTGCTGTTACTTCTCTGACAAACAGGCTCTCAAATCCTGTTGTATGCTATTAGTATAACACGGGTTAGAGCTAGGGGATTTCCAAGGATGCTTTTCCTGCATCATACAAAAACCAGGCGACGCAGAGCTCCTTCGGCTTCCCTGGGAGCCGGCGTCTCCCGATGTGCAGCGTTGGCTTGGCAGGCACGGGGCGAGCACAAAACACTGACCCGGGCACCTTCCGCAGCAGCACCGCGGCTCCCTCCACGGTCACCCCGCATGCGAAAACACTGCGAACCCGCCAAACCGCAGCAGGGCGGCACACCCCGCCCGCGGCTCTGAGTGGGCTTCGTGCTAAAGAAAGGAGATTTCCACTAAATTTCTTCTTGTGTCTATGATCGGCCAGCTACGGGTAACAACTGGGAAAAATACACGTCTGTGAAAAGAAATACAGAGCTCCTCTGGAAGTGGCAACAGCTTTGGATTCGCTAGTTTTCTGTAGCTTGCTGGAGGCAGACACATGCTTTTCTTTTTGCTATTTTGTTTGTTTTCTTTTTGTACCCCCTACCTGGTACTGGTTCATGGTTGCAATGAAGAAGGAGAAGGAGATGGCAGTGGCTGCCATGGCGTGGGTGGAAGGCATCCCGTACTCTGCATCCGTCCTCATTTCCAGCTTGACGACAGGTGGCGAGAGGGGCCGAGGCCACTTCAGGATGTCCTTGGAGACCTGGCCGATGTACATCACTATCTGGGGAGAGGAAAGGCCACAGGCTGTCAGTCAGCACGGGCAACCCCCACCCAGCCCACCCGAGAACAACCTCCATTTCTGCGCTTTTTCCTGCAAAATCCACCACCCCAAGCGCAGAAGGTATCCCCTGAATTATTAAAGGGGTTTCCATTATCCCGGTCAGTGAAGGAAGCGGCAGTTTTACTGCACCATGTTGTAACCTGATCAGAAGTGGGACCAAAAGGAGGGTTCGCTGACGAGATGCAGCAATACAGGATGGCGTGAGACGGACAGCTGGCTCCCACCCCGCGCTAGAGAAGTTTACGTTTCCTCCCTATCCCTTACAACCCCTCTCCTGCAAAGCAAACAGGTATAAGAGAAATTTTTCTGCCACCACCTTCAAATCACCACCTTGCCCAGCCGCGTCCCTCCCAGCTCCACGCAGCAGCTCTCCGAGGGCAGCACCCGCTCTCCCATTCCCAGCAGCTCCCACTCCACCCACCGCACAAGGTGCTGCAGGAACCCCGCTGGGACGCACCACTGGTGTGGTTATTAAATAATAATCCTTGGGGAGGCAGCAGAGAGAAAACTGGACGAGCAACATAAAGTACCAGTTCTCCTGCCTAACTCCCTAACAAAGGGCTTTTGTGCCCTGCTTGGGACACCAGAGGTTTAAGCAAGGGTTCCAGTAATTACCTGCTGAGCACTGCAATGCAGTGATTTTGGGGGGAAATGTTGTATTCTCAGGTCGCTGCAAGCAGTAGCGATGGGAAGCAGAGGCAAGAGGCAAAGCTGGCCAGCATCCCCGAGAGGTGCAGCCCATCCAGCAGTGCCCAGGGCACCCGCCGTGCTGCCATCCTCTGCTCCTCAGCACGCCCTTCCCACAGGCAATGGGTTCTCAGCATCCACAGTGCGAAGGATGCGAACAAAAGTCACCCAGGCTGTCCCTGGAGGATTTATTTGCTTTCCGTTGCCCCATCCTTCCTTTGGATAGTGCAGCGAGACATATGCAAAGCAAGCTCTACAAAACAAAGCAAACCTTTTTTCTTTTTTTTTTTTAAATACAAAAATCAGGTTATCTGACATCTGCCACGAAAGCTCCGTTGCTGTGCGAGACAGCTCGCTGTTCTGCTTCTCACGCTTCCACTAGTAAAGGAGGGGTCTTAAAATAACACCCTTCACGTGCTGGTGTTAGCCATATGCCAGAACAGCAACACAATCATCCACTGCCACAGTTGTCACCAGCCACATTGCATCCCTCTCTTTCCCACCAGCCATTTAAAAAATGGCTTCACATTAAAAGAAAGACATCAGGATTCACAAATCAGGACCAGGAAAAAGCCAAAATGTCACGTTCCTTCATCCCCCACTCTACAGCAAGGGGCATGCCGCAGGGGGCATGCCAGAGCCTGGAAAAGTGGCTGCTGCTGCCTTTGCATCCTTTATCCCTCACCACATGAGCCACATCACTGCCTTATTATCGGCACCACCTGCGGCACGCCTGGCTGCTCCTCCTTCACCCCGATATATGGGGCACAGGGCAGCCAGCACATACCTGCCCGGACTGTTCACAGTAAACAAAGGCTCAAGGAACAAGTGTCTTAAAGAAACCGCTGCGTGAGTTTATTTGGTTAATGCCACCAGTTTCCAAAAGCATGCAGGCACATCTTTGGAAGTTACTTAAATTCCAGGGTTGAAAACAAAATTACTCTCTCCAACAGAACATAAAACATCGAGGCTACCATCCATGATACTATCTGAGAGGCAAGGTAGGACCAGCCAGTTTATCAGCAGTCCTCTATAATAATGACTTCCACTTGTAGAATTATTATTAGCACTAGTACGTAAGAGTATTACAGAAAGGGAAATGAGTCATCTTTGAAATGAAGGCTATGCTAGGACTCCTCTGACGGTGAAAAACAGGCTGAATGCTGGAGGTGGTATGGGTAAGCTAAAATACCAGGCATTCTCACAACACCTTCCTTCCTGGCACTCCAGATTAAATTTTGACCCTTTTATTTTTTAAAAACACATATTGTATAGACACGTACAGTAATGAGAGATGAGACAACCTCCATAAAATGTGAAGGGGAGTCCAGAATACATTCAGGCTAAGCACTGCCCTCTGAAGCACCAACCTTTGCCTCTCGCTTATCTGCATGTAAAACCAAGTGCACAGCACCCAATGTCCCTGATGATTTGGCAGAAGCGGCAGTTGCGGGTGCGGTAAAACATCCCCCGCCAGCCGAACTGGCAGGCTTCCCCGAGAAGGCGAAAGATGCCAAGTGCACCACTGCTAAAAGCCACCCAGCAAAGGTGTTGCTCTGGTTCGCCCGCCTCCCCACGCGCTGCTCACGGAGCACAGGACTGCCCAGGCTCCGCGCGGCTCTTTGGCTCGCAGCACGGCAGAGCAAGCAGCCCAGAGCTCCTGCCAGATCTGCCTTGGTGGGCAGCGGCGTGCCCTCCCCGGGGAGACGGCCCCGCAGCACGGAGCGGGGCAGGCAGAGCACCAGCCGGGACCTGCGCATCCCTCCCCAGCCCAGCCCAGCGCATCAGCCAGTCCTGCCGAGGACCGTCACACGGCTGGCGACTGAGGGCAATACCCTTGCGACTGTACCAGGCACAAACTCCCAGAGCTCAGTCACAAACAGCGGCAAAAAAACCCCAACCAAAACCAAACCAAACCACAAACAAGTAGGAGGCCACCGCGGATGCGGTCACTACACGACAAGTGCTTTGCAGAAACACACTTAACAGTATTTTATTTCATTGCAGGATATATCTGAATTGCACTCTACTGTGGCTCTCATCTTCCGAGGATGATAGGTATCTGCCTTGGCTAAGTGGCATATTCTCTCTTAAGCCATATTTCATTATTTCCTGACCTTATTTCTCTCTAACAGTCCCAGGAAAGAAAGCAAGCAGCCTAAAAGTTTTGGCCTGCTACCAGCTTTTTTCAACCTAGCAAATGAGAAAACCCCCGTAACAAACATTGCGAACCATAAGCACTGAAGCAGTGGAAAGGAGAAGGGAGGTGGAGAGATGAGCATGGGGGACAGGCTAAAGATCAACACAGAGCTAAGCCTCACTTACACTTGACTTGAATTACCTATTTGTGCAATGCCAAAAATCTTTGATAGCCCTGGAATAAATTTAGCATGGGCAGAAATTACCCCAAGTCTGGACCAGCAAGTAACTTGGGATTGCTTTGGTCCGCAGGACTGGGCAATTTTGCTGTGATTTCCAGCCTACGGTAGGGAAGCCAAAGAGGACATTCGTGATGGCTTCGGACAGACAAACGGGAGGGTAGGTTAAGGCTTGACCCAGGAGCGTGTCACCTTGTAGCAGCTGATTGGCAGCAAGTTTCAAGTCTAAAGCAGGGTGATGCCTCAAGCCTGCAGTGCTGGGCTTCACCCAGCTCCCCTTTCTTCACACAGGCTGGGAAGACTCGGGGAGGAAGGAAGGGCTACGCTCAAAGATTTAAATAAAACCCATTCCAAAAGTCTTTATGTGCTCGTGGACCTTTCCACCTGATGGGTCTCCAGGCCCAAAGCTGAACATTGCAGAGAAGAGGGAACAGTCGCTTGAACTCTGGGCGAGCAGACACTGTTTGCTGTCTCGTAGGCAAGGCAAAGACAAGAAACCCCGAAGCAAATAATTTCTTCATGCTTTATTGTTCTCTTTGCTTCTTTCCTTCGTTGCTGACATTTTTTGCCTACCTAGAGTGCTATATTACGGCTCTCGATGCTATTCTTCTGTTTATTTCTAGCACAGGCACTCTTCCACTCCGTCTGAGTGATGCAGATCAACCAAATTTTCTGCAGTTCTGGTGGAAAATGGTTTGCAGATATCTTCAGCATAAATAATTTTAATTTGCACATTAATAAGTACCTCTGCCTCTGCATGGGGAATTTGTCTGAACCTGGAGACTTTTCCATTACTGAAGCAACAAAGTCAAAGCCGTGATGGATTGTATAGGACACAATTAGCTGGAGAAGATAACTACACAGAAATGCATGGGAATTTAGTTGAGATTTCACAAAAGCTGATGGAACGGGCATGGCTAATTCCCTTTACTCTGAAAGCTGACAGCAGCAACTCTAACTACCATGTACCTCAGACTGTTCAAACTTTCCAAAATGAAACTTAACCATTTCACACCCAAGTTACAAAGATGTGTTGGCAAACAAGGGGGGCTGCTCGGGCTGGCAGGGAGGGAGGGGAGCTGGAGTTCAAGGATGGGAAATGGAAAAGCACCACAGGTCAGCACCGTAGCTTTCCCGGGTCACCGGGCACCCACAAGCGGGGCGCAAACCTGGGCAGAAGCAAAGCGATGCTCTTGGGCATCAGACAGGTCCGTACAGGGAGCCCTCGCCCCCAGGCCCTCACCAGTTTCCCATGGGTGCACCCTGTTAGGGGAGGCAAAGGGACTCTGCTCTACCTCTGTATTTGCAAGTCCTAGAAACTATGGTTGTGACAAATGCCACGATGTGAGTCCTCACTAAAGAAATGATGGCAAAAGCAAGGCGGACCGTGGCACGGGAGCAGAAGTGTGGTGGAGAGGTCACCAGCAACAACCATGCACATGCATAACACAGGGAAATGCTGCTGTCCCTCGAGGTGTGCACACACACACACGAGGAAAAGTTGCTCACATACCCCTGCCACGGTGGGGGCCCTCGGGAAGTTATCTCAGCTCCCTAATACTTGCAACATCACTTGACAGTGACACAGCAGCACCAGCTGGAGATGTAGGAAATAAAACGCATCCTCCCAGCCCCTTCTTCCAAACCACACGGGCATGGCCATGGCTGTGGGGCTGTCCCCACCGCTCCTCCTGCCCCGGGTGCGCGCTGCTCCGCTGCGGGCTGCACAGCTCCCGCGTCCCCTGCCGCTGCTCTGCCTCGGTGAAACACAAACCGGGCGCTTCATTTATGCGGCTGAATCCACGAGCTGCACTCACAGGCAGAGGAGAGCCCAGGGCTAGGCGAGGCAGGGTTTTCCTCCCAAGGGCTCCTGCC